TGCGCCAGGGGAGGTTTAGGCTGGAAATTAGGAAAAATTTCATTACGGAAAGGGTGGTCAAGAATTGGAACAGGCTGCCCAGAGAGGTGGTGGAGTCCCCATCCCTGGAAGTGTTTAAAAAACGGGTAGATGTGGCACTTCGGGACATGGTTTAGTCTAGTCTACCCTTGACTGGCTTAGAGTAGACTTGGTAGTGTGGGTTAATGGTTGGACTGGATGATCTTAAAGGTCTTTTCCAACCTAAACGATTCTATGATTCAACTGGAGAAATGTGGTCATCTTGTGGGCTGGGGCATTGATCTGATGCTTCCATCAGAGGCTGCCTAGCACACAGGAGAAGCACAAAAGGAGCAGCAGCAGAGACCCCAGGAGCCAACGCGCTGGGGGCTGTGCACGGCCACGCTCTCGTGCCCCGGAGGGGCTGAGCAGGCACATGGGTGCACCAGCCCAGGGGCTCAGGGCGGTCCTGCAGCAGCCACAGGCGTGCAGGGTGTCACGCACCAGGCCGAGAACAGGGATGTGGCTCGTGGAGGGTAAGAGAGGCGCTCAAATGAGGAAGCGGAGAGGCTGGTGTGGGGTCCCCGCAGGCTGCAGGTGGATCGAGCAGCTCTCCTCTGGGAGGCCAACAGTTTTGCAGGACGGACTGTGCAACAGCCAGCGAATGTGCCCAGACGTGTTAATTTTACTAGTGCAGATTGCCAGTAGGACCTAGGCATTTGGATCCAAATTGTGCACAACCTGCTTTCTTCTATTTGATTTCAAGCCCTTGTACTTGTGCTTCCTGCGGTGAGGGTTTTTGTGGAAGAGAGCAGAGCGCTATGACGTTGCTTAACTGTGTTCTTCTGGCTGCCCATGGCACTGAGGAAGGTCAAGAGGGATAAATCAGTGTTAATTCTGTTGTCTCCGTGGTTCCTAGACCTGCCAGACCTGAAAATTAGGAGCAGGGATACTGAGGAACACTGTAAATTAATTCATTGTTCTTCTCGTCTCTGAAAACACAGCTCTCTCCCGATGACATGAAAGGACTTGTCCTCAAGCCTCCTCTTTCTTGTACTTCGATTATTCTAAACTGAAGAAATTCTCTGTGGTTTTGAGAGGTGCAACAAGGACAAAGCTTCAGCTAAAAGCATGATGGCTGAGAGAGGTGGAGGCTGCGTGCTGAATGCAGGATTGAGTCAATGTGCCTTGATTTTGAATTGCTTAATGCTGTTTGGCTGGGTAAAATTTCACTTCATGGGCATTGAAACTCCTCTTTCTGAGGGATGCAAAACGTGCCCTTCCACCTCCCCCCTGCCGTACGTGGAGTGAGGGGAACCTGGTGGCAGCTTTTTTCCCCACTCTCTGCTCTTGGTCCTGCTACTGGCACTGCAATGCAAGTTTGTTTCTGGGGACCGCCACTTGATCCACCTGTGGTCTGTCCTTCAGCCCACCATCACGGCGTGAGAGAAGAACATGCACGTGAAAAAGGCAAAATTATTTACTGATAAGTCCTTTCTTCTGCTGGAAATTTTGTTGCCCACAGGCCTGGATGATATGCCTCTGATTGTCTGGGATCTTCTCTTTTCTGATGTTTTTGTATTGTTTCTTTCTGTCTGGATCTGGAAATGTGTCTTGCAGTGGGAAGAGCCGGGATGGGTTCATGCAGCTGCATTTCAGCCAGCTCCCAGCAGATCATGCATGAGCACTGTGCAGGGGGGCTCAGCCGCAAGCCGGCGAGCAAAATTGCGGCAGAGAGAGGGGTAGGAACAGGGTATTTTCTGCAGTTTGTCTTTGTTCAGGAGGTAGCATCCTTTTTTTATTTTTTTATTTCTGCTGGAGTGTCTTAAAATGTTAGAATGGAGGTAGTAGAGCTTATAGAGCTTTTCTTACTTAGCGCTCGTTGACCCAGCGATTAGGACAGTTGTCCAAAGACCCTGGCAGGGATGGGGATCCCAGTGCGAGATCTGCTCTTTTACTGTAGCTTTTCAGAATGCCACCTTCTGTCTCTGAAAAGAAAAAATATTGCTAGTCTGCATGGATCAAGATGAAAGTGAAAGTAAAAATGAATGTCACCTTGTTTTCTTTTTGTGCTGAAGGGGAAAAGTACACTTTTATAATGAGCTGTGAGCTAGCCAGACCTAGTAAAGAAAAATATTTTCATGGGCATGAGCATGCAAAATATACATGAAATCTAATGTGCTTCTCTGTTAAAGGAGTTGTGAATAGTTTTAGAGGAGAACCTTCTCCAGTCACTTATTTAACATATAGTAGTCAACTTTGGTTTCTCTAGTGAATTCCTTGCTTTCTCTCTCTTTTCCTTGCTCTTCATTTGTACCTGATTTTATACAGAGGTTGAAATGTGTTTTCCATTAAAAAAACCAAACAAACACATTTTGAGGAATTGTTTAGCTGAAATACACTTTTTTTTTTTACTAGGAAGATGAGAAGTTTTGAACTGTTTTAATAAAGGAAGTAGAGTTTAATGAGCATTGCTTAGCAATCTACAGTTATTTTTTAGAGAAATTCAGGATTTTGATTACTGAAAAATCAGCTGTTGTGGAATTCTCTTTTTGGCAGCAGTTTAACAGAGATATGGTCAGTCTGTTTTACTCCATTTAAATCAGACTTTATCAAGGAAGAGCAGAAGAATGTGCTTCCTTCTTAACTGTACATTTTTACTTTAGTAGTCTTTATGGTCCGTTCCTCATATCTTGTTTAAAAATAGACTGATCAAAACAGTAATGATCAATAAAAAAATGCTTATATGGAATATAACAAATATGGAAATTGTTAAACTTTAATAAATTTAATGGCACTTAATATTTGCTGACGAACAAATCTTGCATGTAAAAAGCAATCTTGGATATAGAAATAATGTAAGAAAGCTCTTGTTTTGAAACAAATTTCAAAAAGGGAGATCTTAACGTGAAAGTGGATAGCTGGTTTCTTAGCAGCTTTCAAAATGGCAGTAGTGTAACTTGCATGCAAAAATATGCAAATTGTTCAAAAGATTGGTATAAAATGCTAGATTTCTTGTATAATTCCTTTAATCATCTTTCTGTTCACATGAAAAATATACTGCTTCCCCAAAAAGCAACAAAAAAGAAGAAAGAAACCTCTTGTGAAAAGCAAGAAATTAAAATTTTAAATCCAGGAAGTAAAGATTATCCAGTCCTCCCTGGAGCTGAGTAATGAATTACCTATACCTTTAAGGAAACCATTTGTTTTAAAAGTAAATGTATGTATTAGAGTGCTTAAAATTTTGTTACTAAGCACAGTATTGTGCCACATGTGAAGGTCTGATGTCATTATCCAAAACCAAATCAATGGAGACAACATTCATTGATTTCTAAATTACAACATTTGAGAGAAATCACAAGTAACTAAAAAAAAAAAAAAAAGCAGCCTGAGGATAGCGTCCATCTTGTGTGTGCTGAAAGCCTTCATCTGTAGGGACTTTCTAGATCCCTAAAATCCCAGGGAGAGAGATGGGAAAAGTCCCATCACTGATCTGTGGTCACTGTTATTTGCTACCTGTAGCTTTCACTCCTGCTGTGTTAATTTGAATAACATGCAATTAAAATGTATGCACTATACAAGAAGGTTGTCAGGGAGCAAACCTCTTTACCCCTTAAACATACCTCAGCTAATTTCCCTTGTCCTCCGTTTACAAAGGAAGGATGAGCTGCCACTTACACACAGTTGAATACACAAGGAGAATAAGGTCACCGGAGTGCCAGTTCACAAAAAACTTCTGCAGAAAGTCTATCGGAGCCATTGGTAATAGCCTCAAGTTTGTTCAAGTGGAGCAATGTGTCCTACTCCCATCTGACTAAATTTCAGAAACCTTATTTCAGGCACCCTTCAGAAACAGGGCGTCTGCTACATTGTGGTCACGCACGGTATTAAATAGGAAGTACTTAGCTGTGCTTTCCTTTCATTATATCAAACTTGAGATCAGAACGGATGATGGGAAAGTGGCTGTGTGGATGAGCTGCCAAAAGTCCGTGGTTTTCAAAGGAGAAGAGTATAATTACAAAAATTTGCACAGAGTGCTGAGGCTAGCGTATCCACTTGGTGGTCATTTATGGGCTTTATCTCCAGGGCTGTATGTTTCCTGACCGGGGGAGCCAGGGGCAGGAGGATGAGGATGAGGGCAGAGTGAGTTCTGCCAATTCCACATTCAGGTTCAAGCACTTTCCTTGATGGCAAGTAGGAATATCACTTTAGATAGGGGAGGTTGTTTCACTGATGTTGGCTGGACCACAATGAGTTAGTTACAGAATTACTTTGCTTTTTCTTTTCATGCATTGGGTCTGGGGTTCCTTTCCCAGCTTTCCAATGAAAAAAAGTTAGTTATATTTTTATGACCAGGCACCTGTGCCTCTCTTCCGAAATGGTGAGTATAGAAATAGGAACACAACTTACCATTCTCCAATGAGATGACAAGCTTACCTGTTTTGTCAGGTCAGCTTTCCAGTAGAATATGGGCAAAGATTTCTGGTAAGAAATCAGTTATTGGTCATTGGTTTCTTTCTGAGATGGCTATTTGTATGGTTAATTTGGACAAGAAACATGCCTCCCTTTTTCCTTTTTTTTCCTCCCTTCTTTTTTTTCCTCCCTTCTTTTTTTTCCTCCCTTCTTTTTCCTCCTTTCTCCTTTTCCTAAATAATGCCTGTATAACTTGAATTGTAGACCACAGTTAGACCTGCAGAAATATTGTAGAGCATTTCTTGTCATGCCTTCAGAGAAAGTGAAGCTAAGAAAGGGGTAATTGCACACCAAATGAAACCAGAGATGGGGTTATCTCCTTGTTACTCCCAGTGATTTGCCCCGAGTTCACAAGGATGTCATTTTATCCAGCTTACTCATCAAATGAGACACAAAATTATTGTATGTGTTGCTTGTAGTATCTGTGATATTCTTGAGAAGGTATTATCCTTACAAAGCCATATTGTTACTGTATCCTTCTGCTGGCAAACAGTCAAATTAGTGATGCACAGTGTCAATTCTTTGTTCAGATATGGCAGTGTGGAGGAAGCCTTGAGATCCACCCGTGCTCACACGTAGGTCACGTTTTCCCCAAACAAGCTCCATACTCACGGTCCAAAGCTTTGGCAAACAGTGTGCGTGCAGCTGAAGTGTGGATGGATGAATATAAAGAAATTTATTACCACCGAAACCCACATGCTCGTCTGGTGAGTTCAAGTCCATTGTTCTTGGAATTTCAATGGAATTTGTTTTCAATGAAATAACTATTAATTTAGCTAATATTTAACATGAAGTGCTTTTTACATTTATGTCTTATTTCTTATGAAACTTTTTCCCAAACACAGAGTAAGTGTATATATAGTTAATTTTTAATTCCTTGGAAAAAATTGGGAATTCTGTAAGACTAGAAGGCCACATTTGTGTCAATATTAAATGAATGAATGAATAAACTAAAGAATAAAGTTAAGCAAGGTGACCCAAGTAAGGAGGATCTGTTTAGCCTGAAATGTATGCTTCTATGAAACAGCTGATACAGGATTCTATAATAAAGAATTGCAGAAGAGACACGCAATTAACGAATGCTAATTGACACGGTTCAATGGACAGTAGATCTTTACGTGAACAGCATGGTAATAATCTTTAGCAAAATTGACTGTCTTGTGATAATTGTAAAATTTTGGACTGATGTAAGATAAAATGGATTTTTCTGTTTGATTTACTGCTGCACAATGTTTGATTAAAAAAAATACAAAATCAATATTGCAAAGATTAAATTAATTAAAATCAGTCCTGGGAACTCAGATGAAAATGTTCCTAATAAAATGTTTGAAATACCAGTTTTGTTTTTTTTTTAAAAAGTTAATATTTTTATTTTCTGTGAGGAAGAAAATACAAGACCATTTGTTTGCCACATTTTTCAGGAGTCAAATACTGTGAAAATTGAGTAGGTCAGAAGAGTAAAGCAGTGTGCAAATTCATAGCTCGGATATATTTATCATGAGGGTCCTGTAGGCTGGAAGACAACACTACTGAAATATCCTCACAGTGTCTAGAAGTGACTTATATGAACCTCTGGTGCAAAGTCCAAAATTTATGCCTAAAAGAAATCACTCTCTGCTGTTGCTTGTTTCTGGAGGTGCTTAATCTCCCCCGGCACTTCTCTTTGCACGGAAAGTTTTCTAAGTGCTGGCTTTGTGGTTTTGTGCATGGGGAGAACTGTCCTGTGGTGGGCTGCTGGGCACCCACCTCTGGCTATGCCGGACCAGAGCTTAGGGACCAGGCAGGGGGACAGGGAGCTCCCCACACGTTTGAGTGGCCTACCCCAAGAGACGTTAAGGGGAAAAATGCTCTTGAAACCATTACGCTTTTAAAAGATGCGCTGGAGGACACTGGGGGAGGCTGAATTTGGTTAGCTTCCATTTCGTGTTCCTTTGGATTAAACTGGGTAATTATATTATTACAGTCTATGCATTTGTAATAATTGTTTTACTTTAACATCATAAAAGCCATTTAGGTTTTATTATTAGAGTCTGACTTTGAGAGAAATACAGATTTTGTGTATCCGAAGACAGGAGCTCACAGGCAATGCCACGCTGATTCTGCTTGTCGTATGCAAAGAGAAAACGGCAATAAATGCTGACCGTTTCTCTTGTAAAGGTCTGGGCAGCTGCTGTCTGTGATGACAGAACTTTAACTTTAAAGGATATTTGTGTGTTAGTGTTGGAAGTTTTGCATATTGGCTTATTGTAACACGGTGGATGTAAGCTGAGACTCGTGTGGTTTTTTGCACGTATCAAAGCTGTCGCCAATGCATTCTGGTTTCTGTAATATTCTGTGCACCACTTGTTGCAGTGGTTGAGTTCAGACCCTTTTACTTCATCTAACCCAAATATTCAGTTCCGTAGCGTAATGGAAAAATGATTGATGCTATGGCTGCAGAATTTGGTTCCATCAAGTTTCGCTTCAAGATTAATGTTCAGACCTCAGAGCTAATCTGTCATGCTGTTTGTTTATTCAAGCAGGCATCTCCGCCTCTGTTTTACATCTGCCTTGTGTTTTCAGTGGTATTTCCACAGCTTTGAGAAATGCAAATATATTTGTGGTTCAATGAAAGAGTGTGTCAAAGCGACCTGTAAAAATCTGGGGGCTGCAAACAGTATCTCATGCCTGACTGTCTGAAGTCCCTAGTCAATATAAAGATAGGTTTTTGAAGACAGAGATGAAAAGATGTGAACTCTGCTCCAATCTATAGACAGGGAAAAGTCTGCAATGAAAGCTTTTCTCTGGAGGCTTAAGATTTCATACTCCCCACCACCCAAAACTATGAAGTTCAAAGGAAACATGAGCAGATTTTACAGATTTCATCAGCTACATGTAAAACTGTAAAGGTAATTCGCAAATGGATGGTGGAATAATTTAAAATTCTCAAGATTCTTTCACTGCTTTTGAGATGTTCAGTTATCCAGCTAAAGGAGGTTTTATTTTCCAATACACCTTCTCAGTTCCCAGCAATCTGTATTCAAGGACATCCTTACTTGTACTTTTGGAGAGTTTTCTCAGATGAACTGTCTTCTAGAATAGTTTGAAGTTTTACATGCACCGTTCCAATTCTTTTTTTGTCAACATTTAACAAATGTAAGGATAAAGAAATCAAATCCAGCACCCAAACATGGGGATTTTTCCTGGCTAAAAGTCCTGCTCATCACTTTAGCATACAGTTCCTGATAATGTATACAAATAATTCGAAAGAGAGCATCTGTTCTGGTTGTGGGCTTTTGTAATTGGTTGTTTTGGTTTTTTTTTTTTTCTTTTTTCTTTTCTTCTTTCAGGAACCATATGGAGATGTGACAGAAAGGAGACTCCTTCGAGAGAAGCTGAAATGTAAGGACTTCAAATGGTTCTTGGAGAATGTGTACCCAGAGCTTCACGTACCCGAGGACAGACCGGGCTTCTTTGGAATGGTACGTGGCTGCTGAGAAGGGGCCTCCTCGCAGTTCTCTGAGCTCTCCTACTAACTCAGTATGAAGGTATTTTTATGCCAAAATCTGTTTGGGATTTTGGTAGGATTCGGTTAGAATTCAGCTTTAAAATGTGGTTTCTATCGGAATCTTTATTCTAGGGGATGCTGTTTATGAAGGAGTTCTGTGAGAGGGTAGGAGAACAGGTAATGTTGCCACGAATTACACCTTCCAAGTGACATCTTGGGAATATTAAAGGCAGCAAAGGATGACTTTTTTTATCTCTTGAAAAGTTGCATAGCAAAAAAACCACTGAAGTGTTTTAGTTTTTAGTTGTTGACCTGAAAATAGGAGTGTGCTTTGAAACGTGTATTTGCACATTTTATCTGATGAAACCTATGATGTTCTGATGATGGGAGAGAGAACTGGTGCTATGTGCTCCCAGAACATACAGGATTCTGTATGTCAAAACCAACATGTTAATTTTTAATCTGGAGGTCAGTTTAGACCAGCACAGGTTCACAAGCAATTTTCATTGTTTCAATATCAGAATCCTCTCCTTTTTTTTTTTACGAGTTGACAACTTTCTATGTTATTTGCAGCTTACAAATAAAACAAACTATAGCTCCATGTATATCACATTACTGTGATCTCATTTGGAAGGGATGAAGGCAGAGATGATGCAGCAAATACCTGCTTCCTCTGAAAAATAGCGGATATCTGCTGCGTGTCTTATTAGGGAGACGAGACTGCACCTTTCTGCCAGGCAAAGATGTATACAATACCTTCCTGGTTACCAATGCCACCTTGACTTAGAAGTACTTTTGCTGGTAACTCGATCACTCTGCAGATCTAGCTAAGCTGCATTCCCACACTGCTGCATCGCATCCAGCCTGTATCACAGCGGTCTTGTCTTGCCTGCCATCTGCACTTCAGTTACTCAGTCTCTGCTGGATCTCCATCAGCGGAGGGAAAAACCCGATCACTGTGGGCATGCAAAACATACAGGAACCAAGTCTCCCTGCAGTCTTCCCTAGCAGCTTTGTTCCCTGTTGAACGAGAAAGAGCCCAATGTGGAAGCGCTGCGGTTTGCCCCGAGGGGGTTGCAGGAGCTCCCCGAGGGGGTTGCAGGAGCTCCCCCAGGGAGTTGCAGGAGCTCCCCCAGGGAGTGCATCATTGGCAGCAAAGCCCTTGGGAGCCTCAGAGAGAGCAGCCACCCTCCTCCGTTTGTCTTGGAGCTTGCGCTTGAGCTGGTACCTCTGTGTGATCGCTGGCAGGAGAGGTAATATCCACCGTTCTCCAGTACCTTGAACAGACCCCAGTACAACGGCGGTTTGTTTTTTCTTGTTTTGTGCTGGATCGCTAACTGACAAGGTCAGAGACAGCTGAAGCAGTAAGGTATTATAAGACTTACCTTCCAGGAGCCTTTCAGTAACCTTATCCTCCCCGCCACCTCCATCCTTCACCCTCCAAATGAAAGCCTAGACTGGTGGTGGTGATAGTGCTTCAACCTCCTGGGGAGGGGAAGGCATTTGTGCAGTTTCTTTCACGATTTAACTGCATGTGTCATCCTCAGGAAAGGTATTGACAATACCTAGAAATTATAATTCTTGTTCAGAGCTGCCTGAGTTACCTGTGGTGTAATTTAGGTGTGCTGTATATATTTCTCTAAAAACAATTCTTAAATGCTGTCATCTAGGTGTGAGCATAATAAGAATACACCTTTTTTTTTTTTTTTTTTTTTGGCAGGAAGAATTTAAAATGTGATTGAAGTACAGTTATACTCTAAGAAAGTAACAGTGCAAAAATGACACTTACTGATTCAGCTGATTTGTGGATATTGAGTCCCATCTGCTAACTTCAATGAATCATTGATTGTGTTCTTTACTCCTGCCTTAGCCGTGTAGTACTTTTCTGGTTCACAAAAATACTGTGTTTAAAAGTGTTGGCTTTGTTAACAGCTCGGCTTAGTGTGAGGTTATTTAATTGTTCAAAGAGATTGCAAAGGAATAGGGGGATTTCTCCCTCCCTTGAAAATCTTTACACCGAAGTTGAAAATTTTTCTAAGATTACCCATAGGTCAGCCATATGTTATTGAAATAAATACAGGAATTACTGAGCAGCATTCAGTGCCATGCACTGTGACAGACACCTGTGCTAATTTTTTTCTCTTGGTACATAGATAAAAATATCTATACTAAGCTTAGTTGTCTAAAAAGTTAGCTGCCTAAAACTTTATTTAAACATACGGAATTTTTAATATTTTTGCCTGAGCTATGATTGCATTCTTATAAACTGTCTGAGGCATATAAATGAGCAAAATATCTTCTTACTTGTCCTTGGGCTCCATGCAGCTTTGGAACTTTGTGTGGGACATGAACTAAACCTTTTGGCTTTAGTAATTTATTTTGGGGGCAGGAGGGAGTGAAGCTGGTAGGCACTTAGTGGGTTAAAAGAATAAGATGTCAGCATTTCTGGCAAGGCTGAGAATCCCTTTTAGGTTCTTGTGTGGAGCACTGATTGTCTCTCTTTTTCTGGCATAGCATCTGATTTGGCCATCCTTGAGCATGCACTACCAGTGATGTGTATACTGTACTTATGCTTCAGCTGGTGTGAAATCTTAAAAGACTTGGACTCCAGGTCTGTGCAGATTGCCCACCTAGATAGCCCAGACTAGGTCTGCTTAAAAATCTTAGCTGCCATGGGAGGGGATGGTGTGGGCACCTCTAGGAAGAACTTTGAGCCATTGTGTGTATTTAATATCAGTACTGTGATATTGCTGCATTGTGCAGCTAGGTGAAGATAAGGGAACTGGGCAGCTCTGTGATCTTTTCATGTTATTGGTGACTGTGGAAATGCATGGCTGCAAAGCAAGGGAGCAGTCAGGGTTCCTCTCCCCTCTGAGGTATGCTAAGGACTGCTGGCATTCAGGGTGCATATCTGAGGATAAAGATTATGGTCAGTCAGTGAATTTGGCTTTGAACTTGGCATCCAGATTGCTTTTAAAAGACAGTGTTGACACAAAAATCAGGAATTTCTCTCTCCTTTTCTGTAAGTTTGATCACTTGGCAGTGAGACCATATTATGGTCTGATATGAGAAGTTTTTCTTTGTTCTTCTCAAACAGTTTCTAGCTGATCTTTCTTCCAGCTCAATGTGAAGCAACTAAGCTGAGAGATGTCTGTTGTGACTATCTAGCTGATGGCTCATTTCACCACCTATCCTTAAAGGCATCTGCAACTGACTGAATCAGCTGGGAGATCAAAAACTTGAATTTTTCTGTTGGCAGCTTTCTTCCACGTTTTCCCCCAAGACCATCTCGTCTTCAATGAATTTCCAAATGCTTAGTCATAATTTTCTTTAAATTAAAACCAGATATAACCTTAAAAAAAAAACCAAACCCAAAACATTCAGGAATAAAGATTTTAAACCTTTAAAACTTCAAAGAGTTTTGTTTTGCTGTGACATGAAAGAGAACATTTTGTAAATTATCTAAATAACACGTGATATACGTGGACACGCTTACGGAAGAGATCTTAGCTACTACTGCTTAAGTTATGTAGTCAAAAAGATTTATTGCATGTGTGGTGTTATGAGTTCTCAGAGGTGTCAGGCTCCAAAACAGACTCCTCTAGGGTATACCTCTAAAACTTCTTCATAATACAATTTGCAGGGCTGCCACTTGAGCGCTCCAAAACAGACTCCTCTAGGGTATACCTCTAAAACTTCATCATAATACAATTTGCAGGGCTGCCACTTGAGACTGAATTGGTACCCAAGATTATGGCTGACTAGACCTGGAGATCTGGTGCCTGTCACAGGAAAACATGAACCACTCCATTGGCTGTACAGCCTCTGAAAGCTCGAGACAGACTTTTTTAAAAGATGTGGGAGAAAATAAAGTGTTTGATATTAATCTCAAGTGAACACACCATCGCTTGAAACGTGCTTATATGTTCTGGAGCCTCCCAGGGAGATGCAAACTTGCTGGGGTGAGCAATAGAATTCCAACAGCAGTGTCTCCTCATTGATTTCTTCAAAGGTTCTTAGTCGTCAACGTTGTATACGTATGCATTTAAGAAGTTAACAGAAATCTGAGGATATTCACAATTTTTTTTCCAAAAAGGTTGATATGAAAATAGCATACACTCAGTAAAATCATTCCCTATGACTGCTCGGATTACCTTTGAGGTAAAAGCTTATGCCTGGTCAGTACCATGAAGCCGTTGGCTTGCTACAAATTCATATCTTACTGTGTCCCACAGTATCATCTGCCCATACCACTAATGCATCAGCACCAATGCCACTGTGGCGGAATAAAGAGGATTCTGATCCATTTTGTGGATGAAGAGAAAGGTTGGCTGTGCTCCACTGGCCGTATTTATTAACTAATGTAATGAAATTTTAATGTCAAAAATCTGTTGTTAATGCTTTGCTTACACTTATATGAAATGGATTTTATCTTAAAAAAAATCAAAGAATTATTTACAGAATGCCATCTGTATTGTGTTGTTTTATGCAAGTGTCCAGATGTTAGGAAACAACAGATTTAAATTTCTCCAAGAAGTAAGGGGTGAAAATCTGAGGTCAGTATCTCAGTAGTTGCTGTTTAGTACCTGTCCCAGCCTCCAAGCAGAATGGTAACTAAATGGCACAGTAGAGTACACCTGCAACGCTTCAATAGGAGGCAAAAGTTGTAGAAAGATGCAGCCGGTAATCCTGCATGGGCAGAACTTTTTAGAACTGAATTATATGTTTCAATGGCAAGGTGATCAACATTTTTCTTGCTTCTGTTTCTCTAATGCAGCATTCTGCAGAAGAATTAAGGTAAGTCACGGAGAAAATTTTGTTCTTATTGCATGACTTGTTTATGGTGGATATGGGAACAAAGTTTCAGAAATGAATGGATGATTACTGTTTTGATAGAGCTGTTGTACGTAAAAGGAACTTAAACTGTGTATTCTCATTTGACGAGAGAAAAATATGACTTTCACAAATTCTCTCATGCCTTGGAACAGAGGGCGGATTTTTATTTTTTTTATAAATGGTGCTGTGGTCAGATTTTCAAATTTGATTATTTTCAAATCTTTGTCATTTCAGATCAGGTCATTTAACAGCTTAGTATGCACTGTTCCCACAAATTAGGCTTCAATACCTAATTAGGCTTCCTGATGAAGCATGGGTATAAACAAATATCTACCAATGTCTGGTAAAACAAACTAAAGAACCAGGTTGAAATATGGACTGCGTATGTTTAGGAATATGTCTGCATGTATCAAAAGCATTTATGCATGAAAGAGAAAAATGAGAGAACGTATGTGGTAGCATCCTGGGAGTACAGCATCAGTTTTAAACAATCTGAAATGAAGCTTAAGTTACAAATCTTTTACACAGCTTTTGTTTTGTTGTCTGTATTTGGGCATTGCGTAGGAGAGTTACAGTAGTTCTGGTGGTGCATGGCATTTTAAAATAGGTTATTTAAAATTCCAGGCCACGAAAGGGAGCATGTGCTCGAGCACGTGCCGGGGGCTGACAGCGAAGAGTGCACGCTTGGAGCAGTGGCAAAGGCATTGGGTTGGCTGAAAGGGCGCCACGGAAAAGTGCTTTGCTATGTTTAGCTTCCCGTGGAGCCAGCAGACAATCAGGCAAAGTCGTATGTTGTTAAACATGCTAACGAGAGACCCTCGGATCCTGAGGACAGCCGCTGACAACGACCCAAACTGGTTTATGTTTTTAGAGATACAATTACCATTTTTGAGTGGTTAAGACTTCAAGTTGACCTTTCTTCATGTAGCATGTAGAAACATGAGAAGCTTATTGTTTTGTTTATGCAGTTCCATGGCAGTGTTAAAAACCATCTGTAAAAGACACTTTTCTTTCCTGTTTTTGGAAGTGTAATTCTTGCCTAGTGTTACAAAGGTAAACAAAGCGTGTCTTTTGACAGCTCGGGGAGGGGTGCAGTGGGCTAGTGTGTTCTCATCAAAGCAGGCAACATTTTCTGTAGAAAGGGTGCCCGGGGGATTTCTTTTGCTTCTGGTAAACTTGGACGCTAAAACTGAGGATGAATTTTGTCATACACCAAATTCAGATGGTAGTTTATCCTTTCCTGAAAAAATAAACCAAATGCCTCGTGGAAACATGTTGAGAGAGGAATTAAGAGGCAAAGCCTCTTAATTAAAAGGGTAGGGCTTCAGTCCTACATTTAGACATTTGGCTCCGACAGGAGAGCCTTACGGCCCCAGAAGCCCTGCGAGGGGCCCCAAGCCGTGGCGGCTCGGTGGTCCTCCCCAGCCCCACAATGTATTGCTGTTGTCCTGGGCCGGCAGCCCAGGCATGCAGAGCGCCCAGAGCTTGGCTGTTTTCAGCGGGAGCGGGCACAAAGCAGTGGAAAGAAGATGTCAGGTAGCAATAAAAATAGGAGTTGGGAAAGCAAAATAAATGTAGAACACAAGTATTTAATTTTTCAACTTGGGTGGTTTGCTCTGTGATGGGTTCGGGTCCTGCAGGGTTTGTCTTCTTTGTTTGTTTTTAGCCTTCTGCAATCCCTTTGTGTCTGTTCATTCTCCACATTAAGAACAGAGGATACAATTATCACGACTGGGGAAGAGTGGTGAAATTACACCTTGCTGAAGTAACTCTTCTGAGATTTACTCTGCTTAGTCTTTTTGTCTGCGATATAGTTACCCTCAGTAACAGGGGCATTCAGCTTGAACCTATGTTTACAGAACCTGTTTTGCTCTGTGTAATTTTAAATTCGGTTAAGTGGCTAATACTAGGAGTCAGTAATTGTTATGGCATTGTTCAACTTATTTTCAGTTACTTTTGCCTACTGAATACTTAAATGCAGATCCTTGTTAATTAGCCTGATGCTTTTAAAATCAGGTAACTCAGTATTTTAAAATTTAATCTAAAAGTTATGCACCTGTTGTGTCGATCAGCAACACTAGTAAAGAACATTTAATATTACACCTAGTGTCTCTTTCCAAAGATATATCTTACCTACTTTCATGATTTCTGGTCTTAAAATCTGTCTGCTTGTTCAGCCTCAAGAGGGTACTGGAGTCCTTTCGAGAACAAATCCTTCTAACATCTCCCATTTGACAAACTGAGAAAAGTATGTAGCCTTCTTTTCATAAGAAAATTGAACAAGTAGATCCTGGGGGGAAAAAAGACATGGCAGACTCTTTTGTTCTGCATGAGTTGGTGGCTTGTTGGGTTGCAGCACAGTTTTTCATAGTTCCTACCTACTTCATTTGCAAATACACTGGAACATGGTGTCATTCCTAGAGGAACCCATTGTGTCTGGCTGCTTCAGGGCCTGAAGTCAAGATGGTCCCAACAGTTTTATTTCACATTAGTCTGAGAGATGTTGCCGTTGGATCCATTTGATCTATTCCAGTTAATTTGCACCAGCTCTGGGATATAAACCTCACAGCCCAGCAGGATGGGTGTAAAGTGACTACAGCATGTCTTCCTTACTTTAGATTAATACTTTAAAATATTCTTTTGTTTTGATTAGCTGAAGAATAGAGGAATGGCAAACTTCTGTTTTGATTATAACCCTACAAATGAACATCAAGTAACCGGACACAGGATCATATTGTACCCCTGTCATGGCATGGGACAAAATCAGGTAAGATTCATGTTTTATTTTCATTTTGACTAACACTATGGTTGTAATGTAAACAAGTATGGTAAAGACATTGCAGTAGGGCTCAGAGAATATGTTGCCACAGTGAGGTGATCTTAGATCTAATTTTGATTCTTGCACTGAATGCTTTTAATTTTGATGTATCTTCAGGTCAGATTTGCTTCATTGTGAAGACGTGTCTACCCAGACCAGGGAACTCATGCATACCTTAATTACGCCTTTCCACAGAGCTCATTAGCAGGGGTTAATAGCACAGCAGGGCAGCTATAGTGCTTATAGGCCAGTGTCCACTCATCTCCAGCTGGTCTTGGGCAGACCAGCATATCTCTGAGCTTTTGTCTGTCCATGTCTCCAAAGCCCTTAATAACATTGCAAACCTCACCTAATTCTGCCTGCACCATTGTGCCTCTTGGTGCTTGTCTAACTGTGCAAGAGGTTTTGGATGGCATCTTCTCCTGTTCTCCACTCTACAGAAAAGTCCTTCTGGGCTCGGGGTCCAGAATTCTGGAGAGCAGGGAACCCCTCTAACACTTTCATTCTTGCTCTCTTGGTTTTAACTTCTGAAGCTGAAAACGGTTGCTGGTGTCTTTCTCCATGCTGACTGAAACTGTGTGCGGTAGTGGTTAGTTATGATACCCTTAAAGCTCTCTGCATAATGCTGTGGTAAAAGGGTGTTGGGGCACATGTGTGCCAATCTACAATGGCTGTTTTGCATGGTTTTGAGTGGCCACCTTCTAGAATTGAGGTTTGGTGTTTGATGGTTGGACTTGATGATCTTAAAGGTCTTTTCCAACCTAAATGATTGTATGATTCTATGTGTGGCATTGTTGGGGTTTAAGCTGGCAGGCAGCTAAACACCACACAGCCATTTGCTCGCTCCCCCTGTCCTGGTTTCAGCTGGGATAGAGTTAATTTTCTTCCTAGTAGCAGGCATAGTGCTGTGTTTTGGATTTCGTATGAGAATAATGCTGAGAACACACTAATGGTTTAGTTGTTGCTAAGTACTGCTTACGCTAAGTCAAGGACATTTTTCAGCTTCCCGTGCTCTGCCAGGTGAACGAGAAGCTGGAGGGAGCACAGCCAGGACAGCTGACCCAAACTGGCCAAAGGGGTATTCCATGTGACATTATGCTCACTGTATAAACTGGGGAGAGTTGGCCGGGGGGCAGCAATTACTGGGGGACTGGCTGGGTGTTGGTCAGCGGGTGGTGAGCGGTTGCATCACTTGCTCTTCCTGGGCATGCTCACGTGCTCTCTTTCATGCTCTCGCTTGCACCCCGCGCCCCCCCACCCCCCGCCCCAATTATTAAACTGTTCTTATCTCAACCCACAAGTTTTCTTACTTTTGCTCTTCCAATTCTCTCCCCCATCCCACCAGGGGGGAGGGTGAACAAGCAGCTGTGTGGTGCTTGGTTGCCAACTGGGAGTAAACCACGAAACCCCCCAGTGGGACAGGGGAGAGAATCAGAAAAAAAGGTAAAACTCGGGGGCTGAGATAAAGACAATTTAATAGGACAGAAAAGGAAGGGGAAATAATAATGATGATAAAAGAATATACAAAACAAGTGATGCACAATATGATTGCTTACCACCCACTGACTGATGCTCAGCCAGTCCCCAAGCAGCAGCCTTGCCCCCCGGCCAACTCCCCCCACTTCTTTTGTTCAGTGTGACATCATATGGTATGGAATATCTCTTTGGCTGGATTGGGTCAGCAGTCCTGGCTGTGTCCCCTCCCAGCTTCTTGTGCACCTCCAGCCTCCTTGCTGGCAGGGCAGTATGAGAAGCTGAAAAGTCCTTGACTTAGTGTAAGCACTGCTCAGCAACAACTAAAAGATCAGTGTGTTATCAGCATTATTCTCATCCTAAATCCAAAATACAGCACTATACAAGCTACTAGGAGGAAAATTAACTCCATCCCAGCCAAAACCAGGACAGGCATGTAACATGTACTTGCCTATGTAGCTTGATTTTTTACTTCTAACCCAGATTAGACTATATGGCATGCTCTTAGTGGGCAGGGGTGGAGAAATATGTGGGGTCTTGTTGAGGATAAGTACATAACCGTGTGACAGTTTGGGTGGCTTGACTGTTCAGGGTTTTTTAAGGAAATTAGTTCAAACCTTCAGTTAGGAACGGAAAAACAGGTTTGGAAAAGAAAGAGTTGTGGCAGATAAGCAGTGCATCTGTTATCTTTCTGAACTCTGCTTTAAAAAAAATACAAAAGCCTGAGGAGTAAAAAACAAGTCTGTATTGAGGAAAAAGCTTCTCATATGAATTGTATTTTAAATGAGAAAAGGAAGACAAACAACAGCCTGAGCACTGTGCTTCAGATCTTAAAAGGAAGTAGATTTGTTTCTGATAGCAAGTTTATTGCCTTAAGTATTAGAGCTATTATTTAGTATTATTTATTAGTTTGTGTGTAGTGTATGTCTTAGCTGTCCTAATGTTTCTGTCCTGGAGGCCAAGACGCAGGGGAGGGCAGGAGGACAATCTTGCATCATAAAAGCCAAAGGATGTCTGTACTGACAGAAGTGTGTCAAGCATGCTAAGCTGCACCACAGCAACCCATTTTACTCGGTCAGTTCAGCTCCATGCCCAAGTTAAGCATACTTCTACACACCTATATAGAAGATAAGTTAATAATCAGATAACCTAGTTAGGCCACTTCCTTATGAGGAAGAGTTGATATTTTTTTCTTTTTGTAGATTAAGAAGTATTTCATGTATAGGTTTACATGCTCACATGCAAAAGGTATTTATAGATTTTTTTTTTTCCCCTTGTATTACAGATTACAGAGAGGAGAGGGGTTGAGCAAAAAAATTCATTTAAATTTTATCCCTTCCACCAAGAAAAAATAAAGACATAGGATAAAAGGTGAAAGCAGAAGAGAAGTACAGTTCAGAGGTGAATTGTCACGTGATGACATTTTTACAGCTATCCTTTGTTTAGCTAGAACTAAAAGATTAACTGAATTTACTGCAAAGATAGCACATCACTGGATATTAATGCTCTTACCTCTCTGCTGATGGTGCGATGCATCTGGGTACCTGTGGTAGCAGGCACCAGACTGAGAGCAGCGATGCTCTCGGAGCTGTGCAATTGGTGCTCCCTCTGCTGGCACACAGGGAGCAGGAGGAAGGAGAAATGGATAAACTACCTGCCTGCGATATAAACTGATAAAAGAAAATTTGAGATGACACCAGAGAATTGCAGAGCCTGAGGAGGGAAGGCCAAACACAGGAAATGGGAAAGACAATATTAGTGAAATGGGCAAAAGGCACAGAAGGACTGACAGGAGCCAGGAAAAGGGGGTCAAGGTGACAGAGGGCAGAAGAAGTTTGGGACAGAGGTAGGGCAGCTGGCGAGGAGCAGGACATGTGCGACAGAGGAAAGAGTAGTTAGGAGCTACAGGGAGGGAGCATGAAACAAGCAGAATCACTGGAGGCCTCTTTAGTGGAAAGGGGCAAGGGGACTGAACATGGGAGCAGAGATACCAGTTGGCAAATGGGGGCATGAGTAGGGGTGACAGGTAGTAGTTGCAAGAGAGGAAGTGGACAGCAGGAGGAGCTGCGGGTGGGGGAACAGAGGGAGGCTAAAATAAGACAAGACATAGAAGAGCAAGTGAGATGGGAAATGGAAGTCAGGATTGCTGAACTTGCACCTCCTTTTTTTGGCTTACAAACAGCCATGAAACCTACCAGCAGGACATTTCGCTCCGTGTCTTTCCTGTCCCCCCGCCCTTTTGATAGTCGTTCTTAAAAGGTAACAGGCTGCTCCTTGTGGCAGCGCAGTTGGCAGGTGACAGTGGCACGACCGAAATAGTCAAATTTCTCACATGTACATCTACCACTGTCAGCTGGTGGAACTGATGGTGACAAGGTTGGTCATCCTCTAGTTGTATCGATGCTAAAGAGAGCAAAGCACTTCACCACAGAGTTTCACAGATGTTTGCTGACAACAGGCAGCCCTTAACTTTTTTGTTTTTTCCTTGGAAGGGAATCTGCCATCCTAGGCCCAAGCTCTTCTGCCTGCTTTCCTCTGGTCTGCTCTCATCACTCTACTCGTTACCTATATACAGCTTTAGCAGCAAACCCTCATTACAAAGCTTTGCTCCAGTCCCCTGTCCTGCACCACATGTCACAGACAGCTCCAGTTTCTCCACTTCATGCTATTTAACACTTTCTTTTCTATGCTGGCTGGCTCACAGTCTTTCTCTAACGTGCTTGCTCTGTCTCTCCCCTCATTTATTCCTCCCGCCAGTTACTACCCACACTAGGTCACGTTTTGCTCCTTTTCACATGCCTTTCTTCTTTCCTGGCTAGCTCCCATTTTTAATCCTCTAGTCTTCTCCTTCTCATCCCTTCCTCCAGTTGCAGAGTTTGTTCCACTATTCATCACATTCTTACTCAAATAGTACTCCCTGCTGCACATTCGCACTGTCTGATGGTATAAAGGAATGATGTTTATTCTCCAGAGTACAGCTCAGTAAAGTTATTCTCCAAAAACATCTTGATAGGATTTAACATTAATGAAGGTTAACTTGGTCAGCCATATGTGTCTTACACTTCAGTACACCCATCCTCTGGCATGATATGCTAGTGGCAGGTGGCTGTTTATGTAGGGGACAACTGCAAAAGCTCTTTTCACTGGAAGCAATTCTCCACTTAAAGTGACCTCTGAATATCTGTGTGCACTGTGCCGAGAGGAGAGAGCTCTGTGCTCTTGATTATTTATAAAGTCCAGCACCTGCTCCCATTTTATGTCTTAGTAAGTAAAACCACTCTCAGAAAACTGAGGTCGCTAGTAATTTGTTTCTACTTTTCCTTGAATCCATGGCCTTTAGTCCTTTTGAATTGCTGTTGTGTAAGCAGTAAGAATGCTAACTGTGGGTTGTTTAAAATGAGTGTGTTCATTATAGCAAGAAGGTGAGGATACGACTGTGGTGATCAGAGCTGAGTGTATATGGAGGACAGGCAGATAATACACAAAACACTGGCAACTCGGTGCTTGCACGTTTAGGCTGCTGATGTTTTGTGGAAGTGTCAGCCCTGGTAGACTAGAATGAAAGGCTTTGAGATTCAACACCAATAAAGCCCCTTGACCTTCTTGGTATGGCTGGGAAGCAGTACAGAGGGGACCAACGTGTGATGGCAGGAAGCTGACCTGATGTAGTAAGAGGATGGGAAACCTCTCAGCAGCCTGCTTTGTCTGACAGTACCCTCCTAATACTCCCATTTGGCTGATAGATTTGAGGTAGGCAAAATCTGCATCCATCCTTTGTACCACAGCGATGCAGCTGGGGCATATCCCATAGATTGCCCAGAAGGGGTAGGCACTGGGTAAAAGGCCTTATCAAGTTTCCCAGTAGCACTTAAGGGAATCTACTGGTTGTCTGAAGGAAAGAAATGCAGTAAGGCTACTAGTCACTGGGCCATGGATCAGTTTGAAAATGCTTCCCTTCTGCCCACAGAACCCACTGGGCAAGGAAAGAGCTCTAGAAAAACCACTTCACCATTTGAGGAGGAAGAGATTTACCTCATGTATTACTGGAGCTTGAAAAAGCCCAAAGCCTGAAGTGCTTCTTCCGTTTGAAACAGTAGAGGGTAAAGAACTGCATAATGTTCATTGGGCAAGGAGACTGGAGTGCTTGATTGCTAATACTATAACCCCAATCCTTCATGTTATCCAGAAATTAATCATTTTACTTGCTCTTCTCCTCCAAAATCTGATGCAAGTCCTTGAGAGGCTGTTCAGGAAGGATGTCAGTAGTAAGGAGCACTCTGACCTAGTAGCTCCTCCATCTACTCTTGATGCATCTGGTACGATCAGCAGCTTGCAGGCTTTCGCTGATATCAAATACAAATTACTAAAAAGAGTTATATCTTATAAATCCACTAATGAGCAAGGCTCTAAATGTGGCCTTGTAAAAGTGGCAGCTGTAAAAAAGTGTCCATCC